TATTATTTTATTTCACAACATGGATAATATTACAACATGACAACATGAAGATTTGACGATGGAGGAAGAGCTACTTATATATCTTTTGCGTTGCAAGAAAAACGACACGTTTCTATATAAATTATTATACTATGAAGAACAATTAATTTTAACGTTTGTGCTGTCACATATTTTGCGACACGCTACTAGATTAATATCTGTATTGCTAAACTAAAATTAGTGCCGATCATGGGTTTGTTTAACTGCGGAGGAAGGCACAACAAAAGTCAAATATCAAAACTATTAGACAATCATTATAATTTGCATAGGTCGACATGATATCATTCAGACTAAGCTTATTTGGTATTTTGGTCCTTTTTTCTGGTGTGACAGGCATCAGCGATGTCAAAGAAATCGCCGGAGGTCCTGATTCGCTGTTGCTGTCACTGTCACTGTCACTGTCATCCGATGCAGTGCTTGCTGATTGCATCAAAGTAAAGCAAACTTGAGCCGACTCATATATAAATCCTAATAAAACAAAAGTCATTAAAGACAACCCAAGCATTCACAACAAAGAGCGAACACAAAAACATACCCACAGACAAAAGCTTCTTTACAAGTTCCATTGCCACTGTTGTCAATTGGACTACATCTTGAGCAGTGTGAATTGCGTGACCCCAAAACGATAAACACTGCAGTATCGGGGGTCCATCCAATACACCTTGCATTCAAATCCAAATACATGTAGTCCATATACTCTCAAAGTCCGAAAGATCTCAACATCACCATGTCTACTTTTCATAGACATAGCAATAAAATCCAAAGCGGGCAGGGGACCATTTAAAGTAGTTCAACCCATAGTGTTTCAACTCCAGAACAAAATCCATTTTTGCTCCTAAATATAAAAGGCATCAATATCTAATATGCATCTGTGAGTCATTCCTTCATAACTTTTTGCACATACAACAGTTTATTACCCACTTTCCACTCAAACTAGCACAAGCGCGGCAGAAAATTACTAAACAAGACAGTCTTCGCATCCACCTCACATAATAACTCTCATACCTTCTACAACTTTGATGTCAAGGGATTCTCAATCAGTGTATCAACATCATGCAAAAACAGGGTAGCCATCTGATAGCTTGATCGTCTCCCCCTTCAATGTTGTTGCATTTGGTCAAAATCACCTTTTAGATTCACGGAATACAGTGTGAAGAAAAAAAAATTGGAAAATCATTCAGAGTTTTTCGTACATGTGTAACTTACCCAATTTGAGTCCAAATCGCGTCATTAAAGATGCAAATTGTAGCGTGTTTTGTTGTTACCTGCTCGCAAACTTTTGATTTGAGTTCGTTTGCTCCATTTCCTTTAATTGAAAGTTAAAATGTCACCATCATCTAAAAAAACACAACGTCAAACACTATTACATTTATGGAACGAAGGGATATGTGATGCTTCTGAATTACACTCCTGTACTCATGTACCATTGAGTACAATATAAACAAGCTTGAGAAAAATGGGAGTGTCGACCATAAACGGGGCAATGGCAGACCAAGAAAGATTACTGCCAATGTGTCACGTGCCATCAGTCTTCTATGTCTGGAAAATCAATTGTTGCGAAATTGGCTGAGAATGGTATGGAGCTTCATCGCACAAGCATTTGGCTAAAAAAACAGTCTACCCCTAACGAACACCAATGCTTACATTAACCCATAAAGAAAATCGTGTTGCATGGGCACGTCGTCACCTTAACGACAATTGGAAAAAGACAATCTTTACTAATGAAACTGCCTTCCAATTGTTTAGCAACACAATTAAACGTTGGTACAAAAATACAAAGCCTGTCCGCCTAATGCCAAAAGACAGGCATAAGATTTTTGCTTGGGGAGGATTTTGTATCAAAGGAAAGACTAGTCTTTTCTGTTTTCGAGGCGTAATGGATAGTAAACTCTACGTTGAAATAGTAGAAAGACATCTCCCAGAGGTAAACAAATTCTGGGGAAAAAGTAGAGGTTTCAACAGGACAACGATACTAAACATACTAGTCGCATGGCTAAGAATTTTTTTAAGGAAAATGTCACAGAAATCATGGATTGGCCTTCTAACAGTCCTGACCTTAACCCCATTGAAAACCTCTGGGCGATTGTCAAAAGAGAGACAGAAAGGCGCATGCCTAAGAATCTCATTGAATTGGAGAGGATTATGGTGGAAAAATGGAATGCTATCCCAGTCAGCATTCTAATTAATTTAGTAGATTCCATGAAGCGACGTTGTGAAGAGATTATTGAGAAAAATGGTGAACAAATATCTTCTTAAATTTAAATCTACTTCATTTGATATATGATGTGTGCAATATTGACAGAGCAACATGGGTTTCAAGTTTTCCAATTTTTTTTCTTCACACTGTATACTGACAGTTTGGCTCCATTATAATAACTTGCTTAAATTTATAAGTATTTTATTCGAACACTACAGTCAATTAGCTTCATAACAATACAAAAATTCTGATTGTTTGCTTAGTAAATAACGGCAATACAGATGTTCGAAATTTTAGATTTTTCATATTAATATTTACTAATTGATCGTCGATACTTTTGTCCGGTGTGACTGTACAATTGTATTGTAAATTTTGTTTGATATCAATACATCAGTATACGATGATAATTGCGATGATAGCAGTATTTACATCTTTAGATAAGTATATGAGATAATGTACCTTAAGGAAACACATGATCAATAGACCGCTGATTATTGTCAAACACCACAAAGCTATAGAGGTACAAAGTTTTGAGAGACAATTTTATTATGATCCGTTCCTTATTATAAGTGATGACTATTGTCAGGGTAATAAACAAACGGCACCATACTGAAACTACTATCGATTAGAAGCAAGTGCGTGTGAGAATCATTTACTAACCGTATCGCAGGTGTGGATATTTTGCAAACAATTTGACAAGAAACGAGAATCACAATATTATCAATGTCGAAAAGTATTCAGACGACCACAAGTCTTTATTATGTGAATTCCCAAAATACCACATGATGATTGACACATCAAACTAAAGTGATATAAAACCTCACACTATTTCTGCACTAACATATTCCCATACTTTCTTCGCTGAGAGTGCTTGTAAGTAAGATTTGACTATTCACATCACGACCTCAGATTTTCTTATTCGTTGTAATAACTTATAAATCGCTTATCGTATATAATAATAACTCTTAGTACAAAATCATCCCTGCTACTTAAATTAGCGTCCACATTGATTCTCACGTAAAGCCGTTCGAAACAATTCCTGTTTACTTTCTGCGCGTCCAGGTAACGCAATTCAATCGCGTATGGTTCTACAGGACCTTGATCTATTACTTCACGAAAAAGTTGGTAGGCCTTTTCGTAGCATATTCATATTAGCTCGCCAAACTGAAACGCGCATACGTCACTCTCCGGGCTGCTGCTTTTTATATAATTCAACTGCTTTCGACAGTCCATATTCCCCTTTCACCAAGTCTATTTCGTGCCTCGGGATGGCCTTGCGATGCTTCTAGCCTACATCGTTCGATGGTTTTGGGATATTTGTACACCGATCGCGTTAAAATAAAAGACTGAGAGATAGAACTGCGCACTAGAATTTCCTCTTCTAATCGCGAGTTGAAGCAATAAAAATGCTGTCGAATCGTTCCCCTCCACACCTCGCCGTAATAATAGCAACGGGCAATGCAACGAGATATCCCCGTTTGGCAGCTCTTAGATAACCTCTGACTGCTTGCTGATCATCCCTGCTTACGGGTTTGTAACAATCGCCCAAGAGCCAGTATGCCCTTGTTGAGCAGCTCTTCTATAGAGTCTCATCGTTTCCTGGTCATTTCTTCTTACATATTTACCCAAGCGACATGCACCATCACGTCCGTTGGGCAGCTCTTTGATACAAATTCTTGTCTTGAGATAACCATTTCGGATAAGTCATATGCTATATTGTGCGCGGGATGTTGTGTGGTATGTAGGTGGTATTAGTATGTTGTATGGACATTGTATCGTGTGTTGTTGTATAGTATGTTATAGTATTGTATTTCGTATGATCTTGTTGTAGTGTGGTATATGTGCAATATGCCGCGCTCATTATTCTTGTCGGGGGAACTTGGTGTAAAAAATTACTCAGCGGTAAACAAATCAGCATTGAGATGTCTGTTGACATTATAACTAGAATTGAGTATGCGTCTGGACGTAATTGTTACTCTGGCATAACAGATAATAATATATTTGCTTCCAGCAATAGAGGAGTATCGGCGTCGATTGTCGTATTTTAGCTCAGCTCATAATGATAAGAGAAAAAACGTAGTGATGGAGAGATGCATATTGGTATGAGAATGTTTACTGTGTAAAGCGTGAGTTTGTGGGCTCGTTCATGTGATTTGATAGAGTATCCAATGAAAGTATGAATCATATATATTATAGTAGAAACAAATGTCTGCTTCGTAATTCTTATATTGGTACGACTCTCCCCAATTTCGCTGATTGTATTATGGTTTTTCTTATCGTACGCGGTCTGTACGTCTTCCATGTGTGTGTTTTTATAACTGTCAACGGAACTCCTCGCCAGGATTTTGATTCGAGTATATAATTTGGCGGTGAGAGACCGTTCAGTTTGTATTTCTCAAGTATATTAAAGATGCATTTGGAAACTCTTTTAGGTGGCCAATTTTGTTTGGCGTATCATCGTAAGCCAATAATCCTTTCCTGCATTCTTCGTCAAACCGCTCCATTATATCGCTTTCATATGAATGTCATAAGTATTATATACTGTACAGTCGGCTGAGAGATGTGCTTGTTGTGTTAGAGGTGAGTAGCAAGTTGTATGATATATGTTACTTTGAGATAGCAGTCTCCTTCAAGGAACTAACAGCTTTCCTCTTATTCTTTGAGAGAGCAGAGCATTATTTGGAGAAGCTCTTATTCAAATCGTTGAGTTTGACGATTTGGACCCGTGACTGTAAGCCACAGTGTCATCCACGTGATCATATTCTTGTCAGTATGAAGCGGGACATTTAAGAGTCGCGGTGTAAAAATCAAAAGAAGAATATCTGTATTAAATGAAACGGAGCGCAATGGCTCGGTCAGTATAACGCTGCTGTACTACACTCAGACACTAGCAAGTATAAATGAGAAGAAGAATAATAATAAGAATTCGCTACACATCAGGAAACGATGGAATGCATACTTTACTGATGAGAGCAAACCCTGCCTTAATTGCATTATCTGGTATTCCCAGGATAAGCAGTACGCACAAAACTATTGTCTTGAGAGGACGATATGATATACAAAACGTTGGATTGTTTTTGACGTAATAAATAGTGAGATTTTTACTGTAACGAGTGCAAGCATTATTCAGAGTGACGGGTCCGATAGCTTGCTGGTATGACAGTGCACTAGGCGTACGGAGAAGGGTTCCAAAATCGAATAACATCTAGTAGTTAAAAGACGAGTGGTTTTGGGAAGAGCAAGGTGAGGATTTATCTAGAAAGGGTATAGGAGATTCATTGATCTCACTAGATAATGGTGTGTGCACCGAAGACGAAGGTCTGTTAATGTTTGTAATCGACAGAAAGACGATTCCCGTTCGCCAAGCGTAAGCTTTACTTATTAGACTGTTAGACCATAAATGAGACGTACGTGTGTCAATATATGTCGCATATACGGTGCATGTCATCCATCGCCCCATCTAATGTTCCT